GCGTTTGCCTTTGGTCCCCCCCCCCCCCCCCCCCCCCAGCAGAAGTGAGCCTCTAAGCCTTTTATAGCTGCCCCTAATTAAAGGCATGGCACCAGGCTCTCATCTATTACGAGCGGACAAAATAATATAAACACGAGCAGGTCTGGTAGAGGTAACGACCCAGGCAACCCCACATTCACCCAAAAGTCATAAACATGAGTTACAAAAATAAGCTACATTTTATCATTTGGAATTGGGCGGTGATAGTGTAAAATAAAGGTTCATCCTCCACCTGCTTTCCAGCCCCAGCCCTGCCCTAGGGGCCGGCTCCTAAAGGTCTGACAAAAAGATGCTGAACTAGCTAGAGAGGGCTCTTTGGTTCTAAAACATCAAGGAGGAACTGAGAAGTCTTAACATCGCAGAAGAGTTCCCCTTTAGGCTCTAAAAAATGTCTCTGTGGACTGTGAAACCGTGTGCAAAGGTGCTGTGTTTTGCACAATATCGATTGTCTGCCAGGATGCGGCGGTCAAAGAAAAAAGACTTATGAAAAAAAGGTTGAAAGAGTTTGGTGGTTGGAGGGGTGGTCAACGCCTGTGGAAGCTACCCAGGTGCCAGAAAAAGCTGGGCCAGATTGTGAGTCTGCTGTGGACTGGTGCAAGCGACATCTGGCAGCGATAACTCCAGCTACTGCAGTGGAAAAGCCTGCTATGACTATGTGGAGAGAGCGAGGGGCTGAACAGAGGTCCCGCAGGTATGCAGTTGTCAGTAGCAACGCCAGTGAACGCAGGGTTGCTGACTGCATGCTATGGAGGTCGCCTGCAGAGGAGTGGAGCCAAACAAAGATGCCTAGAGAGAGGATCCATAGCAGCCAAGAGACACCGCAAGTGTCCAGGTGGAGAGTGCCATCTACCATAGCAACCGGAAAGAATGTGCCATCTGGAGAGAGAGTCCAGCGCAGCCAGGAGTGCCAGTGCGTGCCAAGAGGGAGAGTGTTATTTCCCAAAGCAACACAAGAAAGGCTGTTTAATGGAAGAGCAACTAATGAAAGAATATCACCTGGAAGGAAAAGCTACAGAGGAGAGGTGGTTCAGCGTTCCTTGCAAGATCGGTGTGAGGTTATGCCTGCCAGCAATCGCCAGAAGGAACGTTTTTATGATACGAGCCGGCCATGCCCGTGCCTGGAATGTGGTCAGTTTGGGCATGGTATTATGATGTGCCCTGGGCTGTGGGGTAATACAGGAACTTTTGCTGCTGAACAAGATGTTCCTGTAAGTCCACTCTATAGTGAGGAAATGTTTGTCGCCCCTGGCAACAGAGGAAAAATTCCTGTTGTGCCTGCAGGAAGTGTTGAGCACGTGCTGCCTATCATGGTTTCACCCTGTGGTCATATGGTGAAAGTGAGAAAGAAGAAGCAAGAGAGTTTTATCCACAGCAACGCACTCAAATGAAGATCAATTCTGTACCTGTGGTGGTGGGTAAGACTGTACTGAACGAGCTGTGTGCTGGGACTGATAATACAGTCATTACAGAGACTGACTAACACTGTGTGTGGCGTGGGAGTGTCGCCAGTTGGGCAACCCACCCGATATTTAGAGAGAGACTTGCCCCTACATAATGCATGGGATAATGGGGAGGCAAGAGCTAAAAACACGTGTGGATTTGACACTTGATACTGATCAGAAAATTTATACTTCTGGGTTACAAAGTGTTAAAAGTGCCAGCTATAATATGTTGAATAATAGTGGTGGTGAAAATGTGTTGCCAGTGGTAGCGACCAAGATTGGTGCAGCTAAGATATCTTTGGAAACCTCAGTGGGGCCCAGTAGGTTAGAGGAGGAGGTTCCTAAAGATAGTGGTGGTGCTGCTATGACGGGTCACAATAATGTAATGATGCAGGGGCTGCTGGAAGAGCCTCCGGCTCCTTATGTTGAAAAGGAAGTAACCCA